AAAAAGAAAAAAGAAAAAAAATATTGCCTAAATTTATCTTGAGGTTCATTAGGCTTGTTTTTAGTTCGTGAGAAGTTCTGGAAATGTTCAAGACATCATGTCACAATAGCTGATCTAAATATGGACTTATTTTAATAACTGTTGGTTAAATTCGCAAGTTACAAATTTGACTCCAATTATTTCTAAGAGGGCAAGGTTATTGAAAGAGGGCAAGGACATTTAATAATACCAACTCTACAGTAGAGTTTCAAAATGTTTTAATTGGAAAGCGAAACTTTTTGAAAATAAAGTAATAGCTTATTAACGAGGGAAGTTGGAGCAATCTTTTTATTCTAGGATCAAAAGGACAATGTTCAGAACTTTTCATGAGGAATAAAACTCAGTCCAATGAGTAGTTTAGTGCAATGTTTTAAGGAGTAAACGTGGACTGTATATTTTTATTGATTTTGGATATAAAGTGAATGTAATGGAATGCAGTAGATTATAAAATGACCTTATGTGTGTTGAGCTGGTCGTTTCCTTATTTACAAGGTTTATTGCTATGGAAATTTTTTTTCTTTAAAAATTTTTACTTTTTTGTTTTATTTCTTTCATTTTTTTGTTTTTTCTACAATCCATGGTGCTGAAGCTATGAGATTTTTACATTTACGTTTGGTAGGCTCTATAACGTCCCCTGCTGAGCAGTTGCAGTAAGTGTTTATTGAAGGAACGAAGTCACGGATGATCGCGTATTTCAGAGAACGGAGTGAGGCGGGGGGCTCTGTGAGCCGCAGGTGTATTCGTATCGTCTTTCCTCTTCTCTTTGTTCAGCTCGTCGACGGTCACTTTGACACGAAGGTCGGACACAAGGTGGAGAGTGAGAGTTACCGGAAGATTGCGGACAGCATCGGCTGCTCGCCCAACAACATCTGTTCCTGACGGACGTTACTCCCGGTGAGCAGCTGGGCTTACGTACTCCAGGGTAGGAGCTGGGCTCTGCACTGCAAACACATGGCTTCTTTTTTTCTTTTTTTTTTTTTGAGACAGAGTTTTATTGTGTTGCCCAGGCTAGAGTGCCGTGGCGTCAGCCTCGCTCACAGCAACCTCCAACTCCTGGGTTCAAGTGATCCTCCCGCCTCAGCCTCCTGGAGTAGCTGGGACTACAGGATGCGCCGCCATGCCTGGCTAATTTTTCTATATACTTTTAGGTGCCCATTAATTTCTTTTTTTTTTTTTTTTTTTTGAGACGAGTCTCTCTCTGTTGCCCAGGCTAGATGGAGTGCTATGGCGTCGCCTCGCTCCAAGCAATCACAGACTGCTGGGATCCAGCGATCCTCCTGCCTCAGCCTCCGAGTAGCTGGGACTACAGGCATGCGCCATTATGCCTGGCTCATTTTTTCTATATATTTTTAGTTGGCCAATTAATTTCTTTCTATTTATAGTAGAGACGGGGTCTCGCTCTTGCTCAGGCTGGTCTCGAACTCCTGACCTGGAGCAATCCGCCCGCCTCGGCCTCCCAGAGTGCTGGGATTACAGGCGTGAGCCACCGCGCCCGGCCTAATTTCTTTCTATTTTTAGTAGAGTCGGGGTCTCGCTCTTGCTCAGGATTGTGCAATTCTTACCTGAAAGCAAGCCCCGGGCTGCTGAGGCTTTCTCGAACTCCCCACTTCGTTCCAACTTTTGGTTCCGTGCTCATTCTCATTAGAGTTTGTGTGTCACCCAGCGAGGCTACTGTTGGCATGTTTATCGTTTCACTTGTATTTGAGAGCATTTCTGTTTCTCTGTGTTGCTTTTATTCCGCCTTGTATTTTCAGTTTCTCCGGCACTGGGGTCACACCTTCTGTTTACCCCCAGAGCAGGGAGCCGTGTGCTGGGCAGCTGCCATCCGAGACTCTGTCCCCGCCAGCAGGCTGACACGGGGATTAGGGAAAGGGGGCAGGGGGAGGAGCTGGCTTCACGTGACCCCTGGGCCTCTGGGAAGCAGCTTCTGCCTTCTGCAGGCGAGATCCTCTCTCCAGCCCTCCCGTCTGGTCTGTCCGCACAGCGCCGCTTCTGCTCATTGGGATTTTCAGAGATGGGGCCAAAGGACCACCCAGGTTTCTAGTGAGGGCGTCTTACCTAAAGTGCAGTGTGTTGGAGCTACATTCTTTCTCTCCTGCTGACCCTTAAGCTTTTGGTCATCGTGATAGACAAGCGGGACTTGTAGATATATAAGCAGGCACTAATTTGCTGAGCAGCTCTGGGTTTTTTTTTTTTTTGAGACAGAGTCTCGCTTTGTTGCCCAGGCTAGAGTGAGTGCCGTGGCGTCAGCCTAGCTCACAGCAACCTCAAACTCCTGGGCTCGAGTGATCCTTCTGCCTCAGCCTCCCGAGTAGCTGGGACTACAGGCATGCGCCACCATGCCCGGCTAATTTTTTATATATATATCAGTTGGCCAATTAATTTCTTTTACTTTATTAGTAGAGACGGGGTCTCGCTCTTGCTCAGGCTGGTTTTGAACTCTGACCTGAGCAATCCGCCGCCTCGGCCTCCCAAGAGCTAGGATTACAGGCGTGAGCCACAGCGCCCGGCCCTGGTTTTTTTTTAATTTAATCAGATCAGCGTAGATCATCTAATGCATAAAGAAGTCACAATAACTTTTCCCAGAAAAATAGAGGTAAAATAGGCTTAATTTTTACCTGACATACAGTAGACATTCAATAATTAATAATATATATATTTTTTGAGACAGAGTCTCACCCTGTTGCCCAGACTAGAGTGAGTACCGTGGTGTCAGCCTCGCTCACAGCAACCTCCCAGTCCTGGGCTCAAGCGATCCTCCTGCCTCAGCCTCCCGAGTAGCTGGGACTACAGGCATGCGCCACCACGCCCGGCTCACTTCTTCTAATATATGTTAGTTCGCCAATTAATTTCTTTCTATTTATAGTAGAGACGGGGTCTCGCTCTTGCTCAGGCTGGTTTCGAACTCCTGACCTTGAGTGATCCGCCCGCCTGGGCCTCCCAGAGTGCTAGGATGACAGGCGTGAGCCACCGCGCCCAGTCTAGACTAGCATTTTTCATCTAGGTAGACACGTTACCGACTCACGGCTATTTACCGTGTTGAGGTCTGCAAACTCGGCGTGTTTGGCGGGGTCAGCCCTGTCCTGCGCGTCCTGGCTTGGGCTGGCTTCAGAGTCCAGGCGTTTCTAGAAAGCTCTACGTTCCCGGGTTTGACTGCCCTGCAGGAGAGAGACAGACACACGTGTTGACAGGCTGCTGGGTCGCCAGGCCACGTGGCCTGTCCTGTCATGGAGCGTTAGCCGTAACAGCCACCGGTTCACGTGGTCTCTACTTTGAACTACCAGTGTGCTGCGGGTGTTTGCTTGCCGTATTTCTATGTGGAAACTCTTACTGAGTTGAAGCTACAGTAGAGCCTGGAGTGACTTTGGGGCTCAGAGTGGTGGGTGGGGAGTGCCACTCGTTTCTGGGAAGAGTGACAATTTGAAGGCCTTTCACTAGGTTTTGCTCTTTGTGGAAAGGAAATAGGACTTGACCTGACGAGTTTAGATGTTTCATCTGTGAATTGCTTTTGTTTCTTTCCTTTTTTTTTTTATTTTTTTTTGTTTGTGACAGTCTCACTCTGTCACCCAGGCTAGAGTGCCGTGGCGTCAGCCTCGCTCACAGCAACCTCCAACTCCTGGCTCAAGTGATCCTCCTGCCTCAGCCTCCTGAGTAGCTGGGACTACAGGCATGCACCACCATGCCTGGCTAATGTTTTCTATGTATTTTTAGTTGGCCAATTAATTTCTTTCTATTTTTAGTAGAGAACAGGGGTTTCGATGCTCTTGCTCAGGCTGGTTTCAATTCCTGACCTTGAGCAATCTTCCTGCCTCGGCCTCCCAGAGTGCTAGGATTACAGGCGTGAGCCACCGTGGTGGCCGGCCTGTGAATTGCTTTTGTTTAATCATTCATATATTGGGCCTCGCGCGGTGGCTCACATTTGTAATCCTAACACTCTAGGAGGCCGAGGCAGGTGGATCGTTTGAGCTCAGGAATTTGAGACCAGCCTGAGCAAGAGCGAGACCCCATCTCTACTTAAAAAATAGAAAGAAATTAATTGGCCAACTAAAAATATGTAGAAAAACTGAGCCCGGCATGGCGGTGCATACCTGTAGTCCCAGCTACTCGGGAGGAGGCTGAGGCAGGAGGATCGCTTGAGCCCAGGAGATTGAGGTTGCTGTGAGCGAGGCTGACGCCACGGCACTCTAGCCTGGGCGACAAAGCGAGACTCTTGTCTCAAAAAAAAAAAATTATTATGGAAACAGCAAGACATATATATATACACACATGAAAGAATAATAGAATCAACCGCAGCGTGCCCAAGCTGTAGCTTACACAGTGACGCAGTCAGGCCAGATTCGTTTCTCCATTCCACGTCTCCTGGTACCTTCCGTGCCATCCCAGACGTCATCCTCCGGCGTTTGTGACGCGTGCTCTGGTTCCCGCAGAGGCCAGCGCGGGCGAGGCGCCGGCGTGCACGTGGCCGTGTGGTGAGGCCGGCAACGCGGGGCGGACGCGGACGACGAGAGACTACTACAGCCTCATCACGTCCTTCAGCGACCTGAGCCTGCCTCCTCGGCTAGGGCGTGCGCTCGCGGACTCGCCCGGGCGTCTGGTTTTACCCTGACGGGGAGAGCGACTGCTTAAGAAATCGTGTGCGTGCACACACTGTGTCCAAGCCTGCACGTGTGTGTGCTCACGTGACTGGCGCGTGAGTGAGGAGGAAGTCTCCCTTCAGTGGAAACAGAACTTGTTTAAAGATGCTTTTATTACGTAGGAATTGTTTGCAGCAGTACCCTAACCCTTCAGGAGGACGGAGTGTCGCTGATAGAAGAAATTGCTAAAGCACAGTCTTTAATGTGTTCACGTTGATCAAGTCACGCGCCGAAATGGAAAGTAGTTTTGAGAAGTTATTCAGAGCCTTGTTTTAAGAACTGAATGTTGCAAAGGCTTGTTTCTTTAAATCTTATGTGTTATGTTGATCAAGTCCTGTACCGAAATGGAAAGGTAGTTTTGAGAAAGTATTCAGAAGCTTGTTTAAGAACTGAATTGTTGCAAAGACTTATTCCTAATAGTAATTAGAAGTAAGTCTGATTTAGCCCCTGTCTAATTGTAAGTTAGAAATCACAGCAGCTCCCTTTCGTATTTGTCTCCCCGTATATTGCAAGGCAAAAGGTTTTTTTTTTTCTGCTTCAGAACAGGAGCAAATCAGGAAAGATTGCTCCTTGAGTCTTGATCAATCAAGTATCTGTTACTCAAGAAGAAACCGGATAATTATTGTGGCACTCGCAGCAAGCAGCTGCCTACCAGGGGAAAAGGCACACCGTGTAACTGGCTAAAATATAAATATGAGGTGTGTTCTTAATGTGTAACAAAGCAGTCCTGGCCGGCGGGTTCCGGCTCAGCAGCAGGACAAAAAACAGTCCTAATTCTGCTGGTTATCAGTATAGACGTTCTAGTTGCCTTTCTAACTACTTCTTAGCACAGTGTGAGAGTATATGTTCATTGCCATTTACTATTAATAAAAAAAAGATTTACTGAAATCAGGTTGATAAGAACAAGAAGAGCCTAATATGTAATATTTTCCTTTGACCTGGATGTGAGAAATGTAATTTTTAACAGCATTATTCTGATTGAGTTCTAATACAATGTCATGCCAATTTCACGCTGTGATTAATAAAGCATTTTCTTCTCCACGCATTTTATATATAGCTCCTGAACTACGCCCACATACTGCCATAGCAAAAGAGAACTGAGACTGAGGAACGAGAGGTGAAAACAATAAGAATGTTATTTTTAGTTTTTGCCTTAATCACGTATGTAGTGAGTGTGTGTTTTAATGGAGTGCAGTGGAAATCGAGTTATGTATCTGTGTAAGGTGACTATTTGATCTGACAGAAAGCATTCAGGATATGAGTGGGGTTTCTTTGATATTTGGAATCTTAATATTTGAGGTATTTAAGGTAATGCTTGAAGGAGGCAATTATTCTCTTAATCAAGCAAAACTAATCCTGGAGGTGTAATTCGAGAATGCTTTGAATAAGGAAGAGGAAGTCTTGCAAATATGACAAGACGGGGATATATTTTTTATTGATAATTTTGATTTCTTAGTAGCTATAAGAAATCTAATGACCATGAAAATATAAGTTAAAAAAAAGGAAGTGAATGTAAGTGAATCTTAGAAGTGGGAATAATTTGTAAATGATGGCAAGACCACAAATGGTAATAAAAAGATGAACTTCCTAGATATTTTGGAAAAGCTCATGGGCAGATGGCAGAAAAAGGTCTCAATGACATAAAGGAGTAATTGAAAAGTAAGGAAGAAATGACAGAAATCGTATACTGGGATCTAGATTGGAAAGGAATATAAGGAGAAGAAAGTGCCCGGTGTGTAGCCCACAGAGAAACTGAGGCAGGAGTGGCATTTGGTGTCCATGGTCAAAAGCGTGTCAGGAAAAGTGTTGTAGTTCACACTGAAGAATGAGGACAGAAAATACCCGATTGAGGAATTAAGAGAAAGTTGAAATATCAGATCCCGTTTGGTGAAATGGGTACGACAGGGAGGAAACACATGGTGAGTGGAATATTTCTCTGATCCTGATACACAAATCCATTAACGATTAAAAACGATGGAGAAGGGTCCCCGGAAGAACGTGGAAGATAAAGTGGATTGGCTACGAGGGAGGGAAAATACCCTAGAAACTGGTAGTGATCGCTACACGGCATATGCATGTATTGAACATCACGTTGTGCCCCATAATATATGAGTCACGTCACTCAGAAAAAATTTAAGAAAAGGGAGTGGCAGTGAGGTGGGAGGCGAATGAAGCCAGATGGAAGAGAGAAAAAACCTCTGGAACTTCCAGAAAGGGGGTAAAAGCACTCAGTTATTCAGCTTTTTTTTTTTGAGACAGATGACTGTTCCCAGGCTAGAGTGAGTGCCCGTGGCATCAGCCTCGCTCACAGCAACCTCCAACTCCTGGACTTGACCGATCCTCCTACCTCAGGCTCCCGAGTAGCTGGGACTATAGGCAGTGCCACCATGCCCGGCTCATTTTTCTATATATTTTTAGCTGGCCAATTAATTTATTTCTATTTTTTAGTAAACATGGGTCTCTCACTTTTGCTCAGGCTGGTTTTGAACTCCTGACCTTGAGCCATTTCTTCCCTCAGCCTCCCAGAGAGCTAGGATTACACGCATGAGCCCCCCCGTCCAGCCAGTTTTATCAGGCTCTTGCTTGCAGAAATACAGGGATTAAGGGCCTCTTAAAGTTGGGTCTTTTTATTCCTGTTATATTAATTCAAACCGTCTACCTCAGTTCTCTTTCCCACACCCAGGTGGCACTGGTTTCCAATTTTGGGTCAAACCCAGGTTGGATTATTTTTGAGACAGTCTTGACTTCCTTTTCCAGGCTAGAGTGAGTGCGGTGGCTAATTCTTTCTATAGATATCAGTGGCCAATTAATTTCTTTCTATTTTTAGTAGAGAGGGGTCTCGCTCTTGCTCAGGCTGGTCTCAAAATCCTGCCTTGAGCGATCCTCCGCGCTCGGCCTCCCAGAGCGCTGGGATGCCAGGCGTGAGCCACCGGCCGGCCCAGGTTGGATTTTTAAGAAGAAGTCTCCGACAGAGAGTTTTCTAATTTGATCCGCGTTCCCGAGTAGCGGGGGTTGCCGTTTGCATGTGTAGGCTGGCCTTGGTGGCTCAGCCTAGCCCCACACGCACTACAGCTGTAGGTAGGCCTCGCAGGAGGAAGGTGGAGAGCCTGTTGCCAAGACAGATGCACGGCAACCTGAGCCCAGCAGGTGGCGCTGTCCCTCCAGCCTGGAGCCGTGAGGCCGCAGCCGACTGAGCTAAGAGGCGGCATGAAGAGAGGAAAAGGTACTCAGTTCGTTTATCCTTGCCAGCCCGTAGCCTGATGCTGCAGTCGGAGCAGCTTGGAAACAGTGGCAGTAATCTCGAATGAAATTCTCCCAGTAATATTCCTTGTGTCTGTTTTCCCCCAAGTCGCATTAAAAAAAAAAAAAAGGTGATTTTTGGATAGCCACTTTTTTCCTCTAGTGACAGTGTTATAAAAGGCTTGTCTTCAGATTTTTTTTTTCATTTCCATCAGAGTACAAGGTTGAACGTGTGCCACAACAGGTAATCTTACCACCTGTGCCCAGGTGGCAAAATGATATCATCCTCAACCTGATATTTAATAATTTACAGTTTTTACTAACAAACCTGGAGTAACTAGCAGACGTAAAATTCACCTGCTTTACAAATTTACCTCAACTTTCTTCTTCTTCTTCTTCTTTTTCTTTTTTTTGAGGCAGAATCTCACTCTGTCGCCCGGGCTAGAGTGAGTGCCGTGGCGTCAGCCTCGCTCACAGCAACCTCCAACTCCTGTGCTCAAGCCATCCTCCTGCCTCAGCCTCCCGGTAGCTGGGACTACAGGGCATGCGCACAACCCGGCTCATTTTTTTCTATATATATTTTTAGTTGGCCAATTAATTTCTTTCTATTTTTTTAGTAGAGACGGGGGTCTTGCTCTTGCTCAGGCTGGTCTCGAACTCCTGACTTCAAGCGATCCTCCCGCCTCGGCCTCCCAGAGTGCTAGGGTGACAGGCGTGAGCCGCCACGCCCCACCTAGACTTTTAAAATAGTAACTTGGTTCCCCTCACTAGTGGGGGATGTTTTCTTCTTCAGTAAACTTAGTTGGACCACCAGAAACTCGGTTTAGTGTATCTCATACTTTGTTCTCCGGGCATCTTTGTTAGATCCTCCAGAGATGCTCATTTCAAAGGCAGGTTTCCTGGTCTTGGCCGTTTATGTGTTTGCTTAGGGTCTTACCTCCTAGGAGGTTACACGATCTGTACATGGGTGTAGTACAAAAACACATCATGTGCCATTTCACGACAGGGATAGGTTCTGAGAAATGCACCAGTGGGCCATTTTGTTACTGGGCAAATGTCACAGAGTTGCCATGCTTCCCCGAAAATAAGACAGGGTCTTCTATTTATTTTTCCTCAAGAAGACACCCTAGGGCTGATTTTCAGGGGATGTGTTATTATTTTTTTTAAGTACGGTACAACAGTCTACACTGATTCAAATACAGTGAAGTCGTCTTCTTCTGGAACATCATCCTCACTCTCCAGACCCGATCCCATCCTGAATGTCTTGCGACTCTGTTTCCTTTAGAGCCACCGGCCCGATCTCTCCTGTCGAGCACTAGAGCTTCACGGGGCGGATGAGAAGGGCTGTCGTGTTCTTTCCCGCTCCGCGACGACATGCATGTTGTGCAGATGCGCTGCGCAGCCACGCCCGTCACTAGGGCTGATTTTCATAGCCACGCCCACCACCAGGGCTGATTTTTCATAGCCACGCCCATCACTAGGGCTGATTTTCATAGCCACGCCCATCACTAGGGCTGATTTTCATAGCCTCGCCCATCACCAGGGCTGATTTTCATAGCCATGCCCATCACTAGGGCTGATTTTCATAGCCACGCCCACAACCAGGGCTGATTTTCATAGCTTGCCCATCACTAGGCTGATTTTCATATCCCCGCCCATCACCAGGGCTGATTTTCATATCCCCGCCATCACCAGGGCTGTTTTTGTGCCACGCCCACCACTAGGGCTGATTTTCATAGCCACGCCCATCACTAGGGCTGATTTTTGGGATAGGACTTCTATGGTGCATGTGCTTAGACATCCTGCTGGGGCTTATTTTCCGGAAGACACGGTACTTACACCTAGTCTACATGGTGTAGCAGCCTGTTGCTCCTACACTGCAAACCTGTACAGCGTGTCAGCCCTGACGGCTGCAAGCGGTTGTAACACAGCGTTACTTGTACATCTAAACAGAGAGGAGGGACCGTAGAAATGGCATTAGTCTTATGGGACCACTGTCATATATGTGGTCCCTCATTGGCCAAAATGTCGTTAGGCACATGACTGTGTTTGGTCTTTGTCGCCAGTTCCTGGCACACCCTTGAATTGAGCAGCAGGTTTGTCTTTTGTCATATAAAATCAGCCCTTTTTCAGGGGTGTAGGGGGTACATAGTCTCAGGATGGGGCTGTCAGGAGAAAGACCACCAGGTGGTTAGACCTCTAGACCAGGGCTCCTCAAACTTGTTAAACAGGGGGCCAGGTCACTGTCCCTCAGCCTCTCTCCCGGATTGTAGAAAAAACAAAAAAATGAAAGAAATAAAACAAAAAAAGTAAAAATTTTTAAAGAAAAAAAAATTTCCATAGCAATAAACCTTTGAAATAAGGAAACGACCAGCTCAACACACATAAGGTCATTTTATAATCTACTTGCATTCCATTAGCATTCACTTTATATCCAAAATCAATAAAAATATACATGTCCACGTTTACTCCTTAAAACACTATTTGCACTAAAACTACTCATTGGACTGAGTTTTATTCCTCATGAAAAGTTCTGAACATTGTCCTTTTGATCCTAGAATAAAAAGATTGCTCCAACTTCCCTCATTAATAAGCTATTACTTTATTTTCAAAAAGTTTCGCTTTCCAATTAAAACATTTTGAAACTCTACTGTAGAGTTGGTATTATTAAATGTCCTTGCCCTCTTTCAATAACCTTGCCCTCTTAGAAATAATTGGAGTCAAATTTGTAACTTGCGAATTTAACCAACAGTTATTAAAATAAGTCCATATTTAGGATCAGCTATTGTGACATGATGTCTTGAACATTTCCAGAACTTCTCACGAACTAAAAACAAGCCTAATGAACACTCAAAGATAAATTTAGGCAATATTTTTTTTCCACTTTCAAGAAGTTAATAGTGCGCCAGGTGCGGTGGCTCCTGCCTGTAATCCTAGCACTCTGGGAGGCCAGGGCGGGCGGATTGCTTGAGGTCAGGAGTTTGAGACCAGCCTGAGCAAGAGCGAGACCCCGTCTCTACTATAAATAGAAAGAAATTAATTGGCCAACTAATATATATAGAAAAAATTAGCCAGGCGTGGTGGCGCATGCCTGTAGTCCCAGTTACTCAGGAGGCTGAGGCAGGAGGTTCACTTGAGCCCAGGAGTTTGAGGTTGCTGTGAGCGAGGCTGACGCCACGGCACTCACTCTAGCCTGGGCAACAAAGCAAGACTATCTCAAAAAAATTAAAAAAAAAAATAAAAGAAGTTAATATCGATTGTGCATATTTTCTTTCTCTCTCAGTTTACTTTACTTGGTAATTGGAGAATAAAATTATTAGCAAACTCAGTAAGTATCATGTCCTGACTATTATCACCTCGCTGCCTGTTTCATCGCAGAGAACATAAAGGAAGTTCTACCTGTATTCAGAGAACAGTCACCAGCGATTAAGGAGCTTCGTTATCTGTACGTTCCTTTGACAGTCATCATTTCATGTTTTGACAGTGTCAAAGAGCAAAGCAAAGCAAGTAACTACCCCCAGAATATCTCCGTCTGTGGAATGCCCAAATAGCAGCTTCTGCGCCTCCACGCTCCCTGAAGAGTAGATGTACACCTTCATCCCAGCCTCTCTCCACTTCCTCACCGCTGGGACTACGTCTGCAAAGAACCTAGGGGAAAACCGCCACGTTAAAATGCAGAAACACATCGTCTAGCCAGATGGAAACCAGTCAAAATAATGCCACGCATTTCTCCATTTGTACCCAAACGGTAACCTGGGAAGCAACTCCATGGCTGTGAACTCCTGCAGTTCTAATACGCTAATCATCGTGTTGCCAAAGTTCGAGGATCACAGCAGATTCGAAGCAACACTTTAGGCGGAAAGTAGAAAAACTATTCTCTCCTTCCTCTAAAACTCTTTTCACAGATAGCAACACGAATGACAGAAGAAGGGGATTACAGGCCGGGCGCGGTGGCTCATACCTGTCATCCCAGCACTCTGGGAGGCCGAGGTGGGAGGATCGCTCGAGGTCAGGAGTTCGAGACCAGCCTGAGCAAGAGTGAGACCCCATCTCTACTAAAAATAGAAAGAAATTAATTGGACAACTAAAAAATATATATATAAAAAATGAACCGGGCATGGTGGCGCATGCCTGTAGTCCCAGCTACTCGGGAGGCTGAGGCAGGAGGATCGCTGAGCCCAGGAGTTGGAGGTTGCTGTGAGGTAGGCTGAGCCAACGGGCACTCTAGCCTGGCAACACAGAGACTCTGTCTAAAAAAAAAAAAAAAAATCTTTCAACTATCCCACAAAGCCAGACATGCGGGTCTGCGGAATTTAGCTGGGTGAAATGCTTCGGCTCAGCTTTAAAAAAGTAAAACTGAAACAACTCACTTGTTAGGATAAAAAGAATGTTGATTTAACCTATTTCACTAATCGTTCCACTTACGCCGGGACGAGAGGGCCAGGACAGGCGGTTTGGGTTTGGGGCTGGGGAAGGGCTAGCCTGACTCGGGCACGTACTCTGCCTTCATGCGCCCGGCCGCGAACGCCGCCCTCCACATGTGGCCCTGCAGCTGCTTGAGGGCCGTGGTCTTGCGGTCCAGGGACATCTGCCAGCACACGTTGTCCACCACGGCCTGGATCGTGCGCTGCGGGTCCTGCGCGCCGCTCCCAGACGCCCCGGGGATGGGGACGGCCCCGTCCAGGTGCGCGTCCTCTTCAGCCTTTAAGTGAGAAACGACACGAAGCCTGTCCTTCCACTGACTCGAGAAAAGATCATTTAAAATGAGACCCGGCCGGTGCCTCACGCCTGTCATCCCAGCACTCTAGGAGGCCGAGGCGGGAGGATCGCTTGAGGTCAAGAGTTCAAGACCAGACTGAGCAAGAGCGAGACCCCATCTCTACTATAAATAGAAAGGAATTACCTGGCCAACTAAAAATATATAGAAAAAATTAGCCGGGCGTGGTGGCGCATGCCTGTAGTCCCACCTACTCGGGAGGCTGAGGTAGGAGGATCGCCTGAGCCCAGGAGTTGGAGGTTGCTGTGAGCTGGGCTGACACCATGGCACTCTAGCCCGGGTGACAGAGTGAGGCTCTGTCTCAAAAATAAATAAATAAAGTAAAAGAAAAGAAAATAAGAAAATAAAATGAGACCCAAAACCCAAGCAGACCAACTTTTTCTAGCTATCATTAACCCTAGCACTGCTACGAATTAAAATATCACACACCTTGGAGCTGATACGAATGATTCCTAACAGAAACTGGATTGATAAATTTACGTTACTTTTGCTAGATCGCTAGAGTTGAAATTTTAACCGAGAGGCATGTTGTATAAGAGAAGGCAGAGCACATAAGGATAGAATAAGGGTTTGCTGATTCACTTACTAGGATCAGCAAACCAGGACTTCAATTAAATTTGTTCATTTCTCTCTGCACTATAACTAATTGAGGAAGAAACAAAGAAAAATCTCATAAATTTGTTTATGCCTGGAATTCAATGAAAAACAGCTAGGGAAATAATGGGGTTGGCTCACATTCAGTCTCCTACACTTGCCCACATCTTGCAAAAATCCTAATGGGGGTGGTGGTGGTGCGTATATACAAACATAATGAGTGAGACGTGCACCGTCTGGGGGACGGACACGCTTGAAGCTCTGACTCGAGGGGGGAGGGGGGCAAGGGCAATATACGTAACCTCAATATTTGTACCCCCATCATATGCTGGAAAAAATAAATAAATAAATTCTAGGTAAGGGAGGGCTGGGTGTCGTGGCTCACGCCTGTAATCCTGGCAACTCAAGGAGGCCAAGGTGGGAGGATCACTTGAGGTCAGGAGTTTGAGACCAGCCTGAGCAAGAGTGACACCCTGTCTCTACTGAAAAATAGAAAGAAATTAATTGGCCAACTAAAAATATATAGAAAATAATCAGCCAGGCGTGGTGGCGCGTGCCTGTACTCCCAGCTACTTGGGAGGCTGAGGAAGGTGGATCGTTGAGCCCAGGAGTTTAACGTTGCAGTGAGCTACGATGACACCACTGCAGTCTACCCAGGGCGACAGAGCAAGACTCTGTCCCCCTCCCAAGACAAATAAACTAACTAAAAAATAACTGCCAGTGAGTTAGCTCCCCAAACCACCTAAGATCGTTGCCACTGAAGCAATGTAACCAAAGTAAGAGCAGGACTTCCACAGCATGCGATGAAGGACAGGACAGGCTGAAGGCTGGCAGGGAAAAGGGGGCAGCACAGAGCCCAGGAGACCCAGGGAAGGTGAGGGCTGGGCCCCAGGGCGTGCAGGGGTGACAAGTCTTGGGGGGCGTGCGTGGGTGGATGTGGGGGCTGAGCAGCAGGCAGTAGGGAGTGGAGGGAGATGATGAGGCGCCTGCTATCACACGGACACAGTAAATGAAAAAATGCAGAGACCGCACAAAACCTTTGCATCCCACCCAGGAAAGGCTTAGTGTTACAAACGTATGATATCGTTATGCAATTTCAATCGCTCTAGAGAGAAGCAATTCTAGAGACAACAAACTCCACGATCTGGCCTTCAGTGACGTGCTGTGGATTCCTGAGAAGGGCAGTCATGGCAGCTCCCACCCCCTGTGAATAATCGGGGCGCTTGTTTTACACGAGGCTCAGAACACAGTCTGCGTGCTTGGGCAACCCCGATTCTGAGAGGCTGGGGGATGTGAAGCAGAAATGTCCCGACCTGCTTCCTCAGAAGACTGACATCCTGCTGGCACTCCTCTTCTTCCCAGTGCGTCTGCAGATACTCTTTAACATTTTCTTTGATGTAAGGAAATAGAATGTCCTGAATGAAAGAGTAAAGAAAGAAGAAAAAAAAAGTTAGCTTTTGTCAACGGCGCGAGATCCAGTTCTTGTACATCTCACCTTACGTAGCTGTAACGCATAGATCGATGGAACTCTTGAAAACTGCCGCTGCTGCTGGATGAGTGAGACAGAGACCAAGAAAACAAATGGGGCCGGGCGCGGCGGCTCACAACTGTCATCCCAGCACTCTGGGAGGCCGAGGCTGGAGGATCGCTCGAGGTCAGGAGTTCGAAACCAGCCTGAGCAAGAGCGAGACCCCGTCTCTACTATAAATAGAAACAAATTAATTGGCCAACTAATATACATAGAAAAAATTAGCCGGGCGTGGTGGCGCATGCCTGTAGTCCCAGCTACTCAGGAGGCTGAGGCAGGAGGATTGCTTGAGCCCAGGAGTTGGAGGTTGCTGTGAGCGAGGCTGACACCATGGTACTCACTCTAGCCTGGGCAACAGAGTGAGACTCTGTCTCAAAAAAAAAAAAAAAAAGCCTGCAGCCATGCTTTCATCAGCAAAGCTAGGGCAGAGCCATGGCCTCATTCTGCTAGGTATGTCCCGGGGACTAATGCAGTCTGGTGCAAAGGCTCAAAGGCTATTTCTACTTCTATTGTTGTTGCTATTTTTTTTTTATTACAGCATCTCTTAAAATGGTCTTGCAAACTCTGCTTGAACACATCTAATGATGAGAATGTACTACTTCATGGAATGGTCCATGCCAGACAGTTTCAGCAGCTGTGATATTAAAAGTATTCCTCAAATGTCCTGCCTGAAGACCACACTAGATGTTGTCAAGAAGTTTCCATGTTCTAGCTGCTACTTGGGGTCACCGGGTCTCAGAATTTATAACCCTACTTCTTCCTATCATCAGGTAAGCAGGTCCGGACCCATGCAAAGTACTCCCCCTTTGCAAACTGAAGCCTCAGGAATGAACACTACATTTCACATCTGCATTCAAAATGAACGAATAAATGTGTTGCTGGTAAGAAAAAAGTATCTTCTGAATCTCCTTAAGGAGATGAAATTGTAATTAAACAAAGAAACTTATCTAATTAAGTGCCATGAATCACATTGAACAAGGGAAGGTTCTCATTACGAGCGGGCACGAAATTGGAATAAGGTTTTAGAAAGAAGCATGATACTACGCAATGGAGACAAGTGAAAATTAGCAAAAATAAAGAAAAAACAACAAAGCAGCAGCACAAAAGAGACAAAACATCTCCATTATCTCCGATGGGTTCCAAAGAGACAACATGCCTGGCCTACAGTGCCTCCCCAACAGTGGTGAGGAGAGGAAGGAATTCACGTTTATCTCCTTGAATCCTCCTACATCCCTGCAAGGTAACCCCTTTTTAACAGATGAAAAAGCTGAGGTTCAGAGCGGTTTCACTGCTGGGACAGACTGAAAGCCAGGAATCAAACCCAGGCTTATCAAATCCCAACACCTGAAGCCATACAGCTCTCCCGGGTGGATTAACTTCGAGAAACACACAACTCAGCAGGATCATCTAACTCCCTTGATCTTAACAACACATTCCCTATGGAAATGTCTGATATAGTTTTGATTCCTCAATGAGGTTTCGTACTAAGAAAAGCAGAGATTTTTGTTCGCTGGCAGTTCTGTAACATTCCCAAAGAACAACAATACGAGTAGTGGTAACAATTGGAGTAACTGTCAACATTTACCGAGCCCTTACTATGGCAAGCACTTCTCTTTGTTAGCGTGTTTCCCCGAAAATAAGCCCCAGCAGGACATCTAAGCATGTGCGCAATAGAGGCCCTACCCCAAAAATCAGCCCTGGTGATGGGCGTGGTTATGAAAATCAGCCCTACTGGTGGGCGTGGCTATGAAAATCAGCCCTAGTGGCGGGCGTGGCTGCGCAGCGCATCTGCACAACCCATGCGTGTCGTCGCGGAGCGGGAAGGAACACGAGCAGCCCTTCTCATCCGCCCCGTGAGAGCTCTAGTGCTCCACAGGAGAGATCGGGGCCGGTGGCTCTAAAGGAAACAGAGTCGCAAGACATTCAGGATGGGAGTCGGGGTCTGGAGAGTGAGGATGATGTTCCAGAAGAAGACGACTTCACTCTATTTGAATCAACGTAGATGGTTGTACCGTACTTAAAAAAAATAACACATCCCCTGAAAATCAGCCCTAGGGTGTCTTCTTAGGAAAAATAAATAGAAGACCCTGTCTTATCTTCAGGGAAACAAGGTATCTATATTCACTCCTTAGTGATTTTATCTAATCCCATGACTTTAAATACCATTTATATACTGATGATCCCCAAATTCTTAGCTTCAGCCTGGACCTCTTCCCTGAACTCTGGATTGATTTTTCTCCAATTAACTACCCAATATCCCCACTTAGATGTCTGATAAGCATCCCAAACTAAACACATCTGAAACCAAACTCTTGATTCTCCTGCTTAACCTCTTCCTCCCCCTACATCTCCCCATCTCAGAAAATGGCAGCTCCCTCCTTCCAGATGCTCACGCCAAAACCCTGAGAGTTGTCTTTAACTCCTGTCTCTACTACTCCACATCCAACCAACCCATGAGCAAATCCCATCAGCTCGACCTTCAAAATATATCCAGAATCCAATCACTCCGCACCAGTGCCACTGCTAGCAAGCACTCAAATTTTACTCAATTAATAGATCGCCCTGGCCGGGCGCGGTGGCTCACGCCTGTAACCCTAGTACTCTGGGAGGCCAAGGCGGGAGGATGGCTCGAGGTCAGGAGTTCAAAACCAGCCTGAGCAAGAGCGAGACCCCGGCTCTACTATAAATCGAAAGAAATTAATTGGCCAACTAAAAATATATATCAGCCAGGCATGGTGGAGCATGCCTGTAGTCCCAGCTACTGGGGAGGCTGAGGCAGGAGGATCGCTTGAGCCCAGGAGTTGGAGGTTGCTGTGAGCGAGGCTGACGCCACGGCACTCACTCTAGCCTGGTCAATAGAGTGAGACTGTCTCAAAAAAAAAAAAAAAAAAGGCTCCAAAGCAAAGTGCTGAAATGCTATCTACTGTTCCGTAGCTAAAGACGACTGTCATGTGTACGTGTTACGGTGGGACAATACATGTCTTAGATAAGCTTAAAAGGCAGAAGTCATCAGAGTGGCTGGTTAAAAGTGACTTCAATGGTCAATGCAGACTACACAATTTAAAGGTAACCACCACACACACAAAACAAGTTCCTGATACATCAATCGTTGAAAAAACGCTGACCAGCAGGCTCCTAGAAACCGTCTACCCTGTATGTTCCTACTAGAAAATGGACCTGCGGTAGTGTAACACTAATACAGTGTTTCCAGCAACTTTACTATTACTACTGCGACTGTTGTTACGTGTACCAACTCTGCACGTGACAACAGGAAAGTCACCAAATATAGAGCATTTTACCAAACAAGAGATCAAACTCTGAAATAGTTAAGGTTCCTGAATAGAGTAACCATAAAGACTAGTGATGGCCGGGCACAGTGGCTCACGCCTGAAATCCTAGGTCTCTGGGAGGCCGAGGCGGGCAGATTGCTCGAGGTCAGGAGTTCGAAACCAGCCTGAGCAAGACTCTGTCTCTACTAAAATAGAGAGAAATTAATTGACCAACTAAAAATACATACACAAAAAATGAGCCGGGTGTGGTGGTGCATGCCTGTAGTCCCAGCTACTCGGGAGGAGGCTGAGGCAGGAGGATGGCTTGAGGCTAGGAGTTGGAGGTTGCTGACACCACGGAACTCATTCTAGCCTGGGCAACAAATGTGAGACTCTGTCTCAAAAAAAAAAGACTAGTGATGGCGTTTCTTCACTGACTTACAGCTACAAACATCAGAAGACAATGCACAGTCAGAAAATGAGTATCACATCACTGCAGACAGACATCAAGTGTCAGCTCCCCAGGGCATTCGAGATGATTCAGTGGGGTAAGACAAGAAAATAACAACAGTCATTTATATCTTAATCTCAACTTTAAACTCCAATTTACTTTGAAACTTAAGACAGCAATGTGTACATAATTTATAAATTATACTACAGTGCCGGCTCCAATTCTAGTGACCAAAAAATGCTGGGAGATCACCACTGTGCAGGACGGTCAGTAGCTGGGGGAAAAAAACAAAAACCAGTGCAGAGGCATGTGTCCTGCAGGAAGGGGGAGGGCTGGTGGCTGTGAGGGCCCGGATGCAGGGGGAACATCTGAGCAAAGCTGGGCTCTACTGCTGCTCTCCTCTCAAGAAGTTGTGATGATCCTCACATAGAACACTTCTCCAGTTATCATTTCTCATATGGCGGCAC